GCCGTGGCAGGACCGAGAGCTGGATGTGSCTCCCAGCAGGCAGAAGGACAAACCTCATGCCTGGGTTTCTCACACACTCATAAACAGTGTCATTTTTAGCAAGACAAGTCATTTGAAGCCTGGCTTCCTCCCTCCCTGGGGAGGTGGGAAAGGTCTTTGGTTATAATCYACCTGTGCCAGCATGGCAAACCCTGCTCTTATCCTCCTCGTTATTTTAGATGGGTTTTGTTTAGAGGCCTGTACTGAAAAGAGGCAACCACGTACCAGGGGTTTCCTGGTGTGGAGTAGATGATTTTGTGCCTCCCTCAGCTCAGRTGTGGGCAGGGTGGATTTGTTAAAGCTTCTTTCTTACATAAAGGGYAGATTGAGGTACAAATTGCCCCAAGGAGGGGATGTGGGAAATGTTGGAACAGCTGCTGGGGAGCCTTCATTGSCCTGAGAGGGGTAAGAAAAGCTGCCCTCGCAGTTTACTTTGTTGTTTCATCTTGAGCAATGCAGTGAAATGTTATGGAGAACTCTTCTCTTTGAGGTTTGGCTTTCAAAGTTTGGCTGGAAATGTGAGGGGCAATGAGCCCTGAGCTCAGCATGGGTTCTTCACGTCCTTCATGRCTGCTGGTGGCTTTATGAAAGTGAGCTGAGCTAACTCCAGTGCTGAGGTGTGGGGGCAAAATCATGCTGGAACATCCAGAGCTCTGGGGTGAACACACCTGAGCTCTCCAAGGGCCAGTGGGATAGTGAATATGAAAATTGGGAGCTACTTTGGCTTTAAAAGCTGGTACAATCTGAGGTGTAATGGTAGATGTGAGAAGCAGACTACACAAGATTAATTAATTATTATTAATTATTCCTCCAGCAATAAAGATGCTGATAAAATAATTGCACTTAATACCAAGTGGTATTTTTTTGAGGTGAAATGCTCTGTTGGGAGGACATGGATTCCAAATGTTTTGGTTCCTGGCTGAGTCTCTGCTGTCACCTGTGGGTTTTTTGAGTTGGTGTTGGTAGAGTTTGAGTTTGTCCAGCAAGTGCTTGAAGAGGCTCAGCCCTGAGGGACTCCAGGCTGTAGGAGGGTGAGTGTGGAGCTGGCTGGAGCCACCTTCAAGTGGAGCCATTGCCTGTGGTGAGGCCTCAATTTGGCAGAGCTCTTAGAGCAGCTGTTTGGATTCCTTCACTCAGGCAAGGGCTTTGCTGAATCAGGCAGTGATGGGAAGCTTTTTTGGCAAAGAGATGAGATATTCCAGATTTGATAGCAGCTAGGAAATGGCTGCATCCAATCTATTTGTTCAGAACCAGCAGTGAAGGAGCCTGTCCTGCCCTCCCTGGTGTGAGCACTGCCCTGTTCCTGAGCGTGATGAGAACTGTGGTGTTCAAACAAGGACAGGAAACAATGAGCAGGCTCAGACAGAATCATTCCTCTTATATTTATGGTTTATTTGGCTATATGTGCATTAGCATAACTGTAAAACCTGAGAGAAAGTCTATTTCCTAGAGTAATCTGGAATACAGAGGCTGTGCCCCGTGCGGGCTGGGCTGCGCCGGCCCATTGGGGTCGGGGACCACTTCCAGGGGATCCTGGCACTCAGAGCCTTTTTCAGAGAGTCAGGGTCCGGAAAAGTCCTGAGCTGAGGCTCAACCTATGAGGAAAGGAGCAGAGAGAGGATTGGTTCCAGGCAGGAGACAGCCCCAGCAAACAGGCTGAAGCACAGACARGGAGGAGACTGCACATTGCACAAGGGCTTTTGCCTGACTGGGAGATGTTGCTGTGGCTGAAGTTAAACATTTAAACCTGCTCAGAACGAGGASTGGCTTTCTGATTGACTGCAGGAGATTCTTGCCCTGCTCTAGCAACAAAATGCTGTCATTTTATTATGGTGTGTTTGTTGTCTGACATTTTCAAAGGCTGACATGTCCTAAGGTGGGCCCTGAAATAAATAGGATTTGTTTTCTACAATGCAGGACTCGTGTGGGCTTCACTGAGGAGGCCAGGATGGGCTCAGAGCTCCCAAAGCTGGTGAGGTCAGGGGCTCTGGCACGACACAGAAGCAGCATCTCCCCAGGAATCCCCTTCGAGGTGGGGACAGCGTGAAAAAATGCCCATGACAACAAACAAAAGGGAAATAATCTGGGGGAGAAAGGCACCAGGACCCTTTGGGGTGAGCAGTGGGGCTCTCACACAGCTGTGTGCAGCACGGGGGATGCAGTTACTGAGCTCTGAGCATCTTCCCTGGGGCTCTGCCTGCCCCAGCACAATTCCCTGTGCCACACATCTGCCTCCGCTTCCCCCACCCTGCTCAGGCTGGCTGGATGTCAGGTTTTGCATATGTAAAAATACAGAGCAGTCTTTGCCCTGAAAAGCTTGCTAGTGATCTCATTAATCAAGACAAACAAAGCGTATTTAGCTATTCCCCCTCTCCGGAGGAAGGCGTTCAGGTACTTAAATATGCATTCGAGTGCCTAACTTCAGACAGCTGTTTCTGGATGTTTTTGCTTTCTCACAAATAGCAGCAGTGACATAACCCCTCTATGGAGGGAGAGGTGGGGGAGGCAGAACCAAGGGYTGCTGAAGGAGGTGGGTAACCCCAGAGAGCTGGCAGGGACAATCCCTGGTTGTTCCAAATCCATTCTGCCATTAAAGATGCAGGAGTTTTTTTCCTGGATGTTGGGATTGTTAGAAAAATCCAGTGCTTGCAGGTAAGGACAGCTGAGCTCCTTCTTTTGAATGTGCCTCTGCCTTTCTGCCATGCTCCTTTATCCACCAGGGCTCAGAACTGGGCACAGGGAAATTTCTGCCTGGGGTTGGGTTGAAGCCACAGGAGAGGAAAGAGCAGTTAATTCACTCCAACCTTGGTACAAAGCTCCTGGGTGAGAAATGTCCCACTGAGCCACAACTGGCAGTAATTAAAAGGAGCARAGCCTTGAAGAAATTGTGGGGGATGCCAGCCCTCTGCCCTCAGCATGAGTGAGTGGAAAGCACCAGGTGTAGGACAGGGGCAAGTGCTGTTTTAAAAAATGAGAAACCCTCCCGGTAATTGGAGTCCAGATGAGGGTGTCCTTGGGTCAAAGGTCTTGTTATGACAGAGACTGGTGTTGAGAAGTCAATGCCAGTGATGAATCCTCATCCRTGATTCTTCTAATTCGTATTTTAAATGATGAACCCAAAGGTACCTCCTCTAGAGACAGCTGATGATCTTTGCCATTACTCTGCTGCAGTTATGGGTTTTTATGCCAGGATTTTGTTTGGAGCCCTGGCTGCAGCAGGACAGGAATATGGTTTGTAGGAAAAACTTCAAGGGTTTTCCTTGCAGGATGATGGAGCTGTGGTGGGCTCAGGCTGCTGCTGAGGAGCAGTKTTTTACTGCTGTTCATTGCATTTGTTACTGACAAATAAAAACCTGCAGGACCCTTGCAGCTGGGACGTTGAGATGTCAGTGTTTGCTTCACAGAATTAGAGGGGCAAGAARAATAATTACCACTCCTAAAACTCCAATATGTGTTTAGGGAGGGGTATAATCTTCTGAGTTTCTCAATTTTGTGTKAAACTGCAGGATTCATTAGAGCAGGTGTGTTAATGAGGGTTGATAAACTGAAGGTGAGATGCAGGAAGGCCAAGCTGGTGCAGGGAAGGCAGAGCTGCCCTGATGGCATCAAACCCCAGAGACTGAGCAGGGTTTGTGGGTGCTGCACCTGCCGGGCACCGTAAGAAAAAGCTCACAGAATAAGCTCAGCTTGTTGGGGGAGTTTAACAGAGCCGGGTTTGATGGTTTGTGATCATTTGTAGRAGGTGTTGAGAAAGAAAAGGGCTGAATGAACAGCAGCAGGCTCTCCTCCTGGCCTGGAAAGATCCACCGAGCTGTGGCTGTACCTGTTCCTCTCCCAGCCCCTGCCTGGCTCTGCCCACCTGCTCCCAGGCAGATTCCCAGCCTTGCACCATTTTTCACTTTAACAACAAAGCTCAGCCTCGTTTCTCCATCACCCGTTTGATCGAATCCTTTTAGCGGGTGACAAAACACTTTCCTGAGCTCTCTTTACAGGAAACCAATCTCTAGTATTTTTTTTTCCACCAAAACCTCCTTTATTTACAGAAGTCAAACAAATCCTGAGGATTTTTTTTTTCCTCCAAAACAACACAAAACTGGATTTTTTTTTCAGGAAGGGGGGAGAAGGGAGTAAAATAAACAATACAGAGAGAGGCAGGGTGCACACGCTGACGCTCAGCGCGCCGAGCATCCCTGTACAAATAAAAAAAAAAAAAAACAAAAAAAACCCCAAACCCACCCCTTGCGCGCGCGCACATCGAGATGCAAATGATTTTCCGCGAAAGCCATCGCTTGTAAAGCTTGACAGAAAATAATGAGAAACACTAAATCTTTTATAAGGTCAACACTCAAGCAGCTGTCAAACAAGAAAAGAATTTAGCGAAAGATCCGCAAAAACTTCCATCGCCTCATTAAATCCAACAGGGCCGGGSCCCGGCGTGGTGAGGAGGCACCGGGGCGCCTCCGTTTTGTGTCAGTAATTTGCGGCGGAGGAAGAGGGAAGACGAAACAGCCAACGCCGAAGGGGCCTTGGGGGAGGCTGGGGAATCGTTAGTGCGCCAGGAGCGGCCTCGGTTCCTAATTGGAAGCATTGGGCATTATCAACGGAGGATTTGCCTCGGCTCCCTGACAGCTCTCTAGGCCTGGAATGATAGCCCACTTGTCAGTGTAAAAGACCATTAAAAACAAACCATTTTGATTTAATTGGAGGCGGTGTGCTGGGGGCCCAGGTGAGGCGCTTCATCAGCCGATGTTGGCTGCTGATGCCTTTTTCCCCCTGTATTGATGGCTTTTTTCTTTTTCTCCCCTCCCTTTCAAAAACTGTCTAGGAAAGAGAAAGAGGTGCTGAAAGATCCTTCACAGCCGCATCGAGAGCGCCTTTCAATAGGGTTGTCAACAAATGCCGTGACAAGTTAGAGAGAGGCAGGTACTTTTAAAACAGACGTTATTCTGTCCAAGATGAGCTGTGCTCAGAGGTGAGTGTTGGATTATTAGGGTTACAAATAATGTGGCTTTTCCTGCCAGGAGCGTGCTTAACTGGCTTAACGAATGGGGTTGATTTTTCTCTCCCCACCTTGGTAAGAACAGAGGGAAATGCAGGACAAGGGACCCTGGGCTAAATGATCTTTATTTGCTTCAAGCCCAGGAAGGTTTCAAACAGTGTTCAGCAATTTTTGACTGTTGTATTTAATGTCCCGTGGAGATTTGGGTTGGATTTTTTTTTTTTTTCTTTCCTGAAAATTATGGCCACAGATATTTGCTGGAGTTCACTGGTCATCTGGTCTGGGCAACAGCATGAGGAAAGAAGAATTAACCCACTGGAGCTGTAACCTGGTGTGTGCCCCCCACCTCYTTGGCAGATGTTTGAGGGTCAAACCAGAGCTGGCAGCTTTCACACTGACCTCGTGYGCTTGACATCTGAATCCTGACCCTTTTCATGCCAGGCAAGAGTTTTACTCAAAGTTGTCTGTTGATAAATAGCATTTCTGCAGAAGTCAGAAGAGGGCCATGAATGAAACCYCAAATCCATTTAAAAAGCATTTCTGTGGAAGTGTGCATTTCAAGCAATGGCAGGTGCTCACCCATAACCCAACACAGCATGTTTGGTTTCACTCTGCCACGAACTGTGAGCACCCAAAATCTGCTCCTTCATGGGTGAGTGTCTCCATAAGAGCAAAGGGGAGTGGTGGCCCCCTGTTCCTTGTGCTGCCTTTGGACTCTGGGGCTTGGATGCAGGTGGAGATGCTCCAGGCTGTAAAGCTGCACAGGAGGATGCTGTTTTCCTGTGTCCAGAGCAATGGAAATGGCAGAGGAAGGATGGGTCACTCTGTCTCTGGGGGAGAAGGGGGAAATGCTGAGTGTGGCTAGCAATGGATTTAATTAAGAGAGGGTTGACTGAGATAAGWTATARRAAGTTTTTTACAATGAGGATGTTGAAATACTGGCACAGGTTGTCCAGAGAGGTGGTGGATGCTTCATCCCKAGAAACATTCAAGGTCAGGTTGGATGGGGCTCTGAGAAACATGATCTGGTTGCTTTTTGCAGAGGCTGGACTAGGTGGCCCTTAAAAGTCCCTTTCAAGGCAAAATATTCTATGCCAGAAGGCAGAATTAGGGTAGGATGAGAGGCTGAGTGTCCAGGGCRCAAGGAAAAGACTGGACCATGAAAATGCTTCGCTGGGATTTGAACAATTGTATTGCTGGGAGCTTTGGCTGTAAGGACAAACAAGAAAACCTCTTGTGATGGTGACAGGGGCCCAGARGCTGCAGGTGGCCATGGTGTGGGAGGTGACATCTCTGCTGGGGTCCCAGAGGAGACAGGGATCATGCCCAGGCCAGCTGGGTCTGTGCCACCCRTTTGGAACCCTGAAGGGTGTTGAGTTCTCTTTGCATTGTGCCTGCTGCAGGCCACTGATRCTGCTTTGGGTTGTCACCACAGGGCTGGGAGCCACCAACTCGTGTCACTTGGGCAGGTGACACTGATTTTAATTCTTTTTGGTCAGCCAAAATCCCACTGAAGGGAGCTTTGATCTGGTACCATGGTGATGTGAAGTTCTTGAACTCGTTGCTTTGTTCTTTAAGCACTACGTGGGCTCCAGGAGATGAGTTTTAGAACACTCCAAGTCCCAGAAGTTTTTCTGCCCTCAAACCCGAGAGGACCTGAACATCCAGCCCACCGTGTGCTGTGTGTATCAAGCCCAGATTATTTAAGCAGAATCTGTGGCTTTTCTGACAACACAACAGCGGCGAGATTACATGAGCTGCGCTTGTCAGTTCAGCTCCATAGACAAAAATAGAGGTAAGGCATTAAAAAAAAATGCGGAACATTTTTGTGTGTACATGTTAAACCTCRACTGCTAATTCTGACGAAGGATCAGGCTGTGAGCAGATATCGGATCCCTGGTGAGAATCAAATTCCAGAGCCCAGAATTTTGCTGCAAAGTTTATACAGTGGGGATTCCTCTAATTACTTTCAGTGGAAATTTACCTGACAGAGCTTTCCCAGGTAATGCAAGGCATACGCGGGAGAGCCGCTCAGCCGTTGACAGAGCCTTTGATTTTGTGCCAGGTTGCAAATTAAGTCTTTTGCCAAGGTACCCGAACACTTGCTCGTCAATTGCTTATCGCTTATTCATATCGCGCATCGCGCGCCGCGCGTTTCATCTGCTCGGGAAGGCGGCGCACGGTGACAAAAGTCTCGTCCAAAGTTGCTGCATTTTCTTTCCTTCCCCTTGCTTGGTCAAGTAAACAAGCCACCTCAGTGTGGCTGCGAGCTGGGATTGTCTAATGAGCAAAGGAAGAGCCCTGGTGTGTGTCAGTGACATGCGGTGCACGGAGCTGTTTTGACACATTGGTGAATTCTGTCCTGTGTTGCTGCTGTGTTGCTACCTGGATACTTCTTGACTTGATAGAGCTCTGGAAATATCTTGGAGGTGGCCAGGATTGGCTTTCTGGTTTGGATAGTGACTATCAAACAGTCAGGTGGAGGTAGATGGAGCCTCACCCTGGGCTTGCACAGGGGGTGATGCTGTTTTTTGGGAACAACGTCCTTTCTAGAGTTTTGTTGGCATCATTCTGCCTGAGCCAGCAGGTGAGGAGTGACACAGAGACAGGAGTATGTAAGGCTGAGAGAATTGGGATTGCTCAGAGAAAAGAGAAGGGTTTGGGGTGGCCTGAAGGGAATTTACAGGTAAGATGGGGCACAACCGTTTACAGGAGCCTGGGGTGAGAGAACAAGAGAGAATGGGCTCAAAATGAAAGAGAGTAGGTTTAGATATCAGAAAAAATTCTTCCCTGTGAGGGTGGTGAGGCATTGAAACRGATTGCCCAGGTAAGTTGTGGCAGCACCATCCTAAAAGTGTTCAAGGCCAGGCTGGATGGAATTCTGAGCAATTTGGTCCAATGGAAGGTGTCTCTGCCATGGCAGGAGGGTTGGAGATGATCTTCAAGGTGCACTTCCAATCCAAACCATAATTTATGTCCATGCTGGGTGCCTGAGAGAAGAGTCCCCAGGGAATGCAGTCCCACATCTACAAGTTAATTAAGTTTTGGTGCAGTCCCAGCCATGCTGGCAAAATGTGAGCCCTGGAATTGTCACTGCAGGCAAAGCAAGGCAGAGGCTGTTTGCTTTGGGGTGTGGCTGAGGACGAGGAGGGCAGTGAAAGCATCCTGCTGAGGTGAATAAGGAGTTAACATCTGCTTGGTTTTGTTAAAAAAAAAACCCCAAATATAAAAACCACTCCAATGCAGCATCTTTCCCTAATGAACTGCCCATCAGGACATGACTGTGACCTGTTTGTCTCRGTGGGCTGGGGGGCCCAGGAGACCCCAGGCCAGGTCAGTCCTRCAGAGCGAGACGGAGCAGGAGCACCCGGTGTGGGAGAGCCTGYAAATCACCAGTTAGCTTAACAGTGTGGGCCATTATTCTAAAGCAGTGGGGCTGAAACCTAAATCCAAATGAAAATRTAGTCAATTTGTCCATACTTTGCTGACTGAATGACTATGTAATGCCATGCAGCTCTGGCAATGCAGGGAGCAAGCAGATGCAATTAGTGAGGAGGGAAAAGCTCCTTTGTTTTCTTCTCTTCCACTTCTTGRGCAAGCTCTAGCATGGTGCAGGGAAAGAATCTTGCAGGGGCTGAATGGAAAGCTCAGTTTGAGCCAGCAGAGATATCCATGCCAAATTTCTGCAGCTCTCTGTTAATGGGTTGGGATGGGTATTAAAAATCCTTCTTGTTGATTTTTATGAACCTTTGCACAGYAGGAAGAGAGTGTTATATGGACTGGGGACAGTGTTTTGGTCTGTTGTCACCTTATAAAGGAGGGACTGACACTGACTCCTGGAGTTTAGTTGATGGGTTAGGCCAGTCTGGCTTTCAAAACCATTCAACCACCTCTGTGGAACCTAGCTTTACATGGCTAGTCAAATTTGGAGACCACCAAATATCTTTGGGAACCCTTAACTTTCTCCAGGCTGCTACAGCTTTTAACTGGGTAAACATTTATGGATGTCCAAAAGGAGTTATTTTCCCTTGGAGGAAACCATGCACTGAAAGTCAAGTGAACAACAAATTCCCTGCTCTGAGTTCTAACATGGGCTGTGCCTGTTAGATCTGCATTGGGGAGGTAATGGCAAGGGTAAGGCAATGAGCAAGAAGGAGTATGGAAAATCTGCAGAGGCTGTGCAAAATGAGCTGTTCCTTCTCCCTGGATGCYGCTTCAAAGAAAGAGAAGGGGAGAAGGAGAGAAAAAGGAAAGATTTGGAGGTTTGAGAGGGGCTGGGGCAGGAACCCAACCACAGCCACGGATGAAACAAAAGGGAAAGCAGAAAACACAACCCAGGCTGAAAAATGAGCAGTGATGGAAAGGTCTGGGGTGAGAGGAGCTCTAAAGAGGAGGCTTGCCCCAGGATCTCGTGTGACTCTCACAATCTGTTTAACAGCGATCGGTCATGTTCTCTCGCTGCCATCGCCGCAGCAGCAGCTCCGAGCTGACAGGCAGTGGGGATAAATGATTACTGACATATGCTAATCGGACACTCTTAGACAGGACGTTGGAGGAATACATCAAGGTGGTGCAAAATGCATTTCTTGGGTAAAACTCTCCAACTTGTACAAGCAAATTACCTTCAGGAAGGCACAAGGCTTCTTCGCTGTTTAAAACTGCGGTTAGAAATCAACGGTGTGGCAAAAAAAAATGGCCCCATCAGAAGAAGGGCCAGGACAGAGAGCTGAGAGCTCTTTGCAGAGGTATCTGTCAATGCCAGATATGATTTTGGCCATGTAAACTGCCTGCAGGGTCTCAGTGCTTTCACTTTTTGGTGTCTCCTTTCCACTGATCCAGCTCTTTCCCTTTCCTTTCTAAAATCCACCCCAGCTCTTCWCTTGAAGTTTTCCTGTAATTTACACCACAAACAAAACTAATGGAATTCTAACCAGTACCCCAAGAATTTTAACAAGTTTAGCCCCAACAATTTTAACCCCAGAGCATGGCAGGTTGTGCAGATGAATTCATGGAAATGTTTAGATCCCATCAATAGAACAAGAAATCTCCACCTTGGCTCTTATTTGGCTCATTTAAAGGAAGTGCCATGCACATCTGTAACCTGGCCAGACCCTTTGCTTTGTCTCAGGATGAATATTGCYAATCAGGTAATTTAGAGAGGTATCAAGAATGCAGGCTTCGTGGAAATCTCTAATCCTGGGGTGGAAAAGCTGCTTGAAACATCTGGTTGGGTTTGAATTAGTTTTGGTGAGAGCTGATGAAATGGCAGGGGACCAAAATGCAGGTGTGACTGTGCTGCTTGTGTAGGGCACTTGTAGAGCAAAGGCCACCCCTCTACTTACAGTGAAATAGAAAAAGATGCCTCTCATCTTATGAAGCTCATGAAAGTGCATATAAGTTAAAAACCAAGTTATTATCTGGGCAACTGCTGCCTCTCTTCTAGGGTTTATAGTTGGTAAAAAATATCCCACTCTGATGTTCAAAAGGGGCTGATGTTTGATCACATTTGGGATCATTTTAAGGTTTGGGTCATGGGGAGTCTGAGTTAAGACCCTCATTCATTGCATGCTAAGGATGTTACCAGGACATGTGGGCGAGGTTGGAGTGTCCCCACTTTCAATCAAGTGCTTGTAGAGGCCCAGAAAAGCTGACTTTGGTCACGGGATRGGTTGTGGGGGGTCCATACCTTCCCGAAGCGTTGTGGGTGCCAGAAGGACTCCTCCTTCTTGGGTGGTGGGTGCATGCGCAGGTACTGAGTGCGATTATCACGCACCCCTTCGCTGAGCTGTGCCCAAAGAGAAACACAAATGGGTTTAAACAGCTGCACTTTGCTGAGCTGCACCCAAATAGAAATACAAATGGGTTTAAACAGTTGCACTTTGCTTTTCTGCAACCAAAGGTGAACAAGAGTGGGCTCAAACAGCTGCATGGCCACATCAGCTCCGTGTCGTGCAATGCAGTGACACTGGATGGACAGGGCTGAAAGTGGTGCCTGATCTGGGTGGTTTTCCATGTCCGTGCAGCCAATACTGATAGTTAAAACACACTGATGGGAAAAATAGGAGCAGCTGCCAGCTCTCAGTGTCTGCATAACAGAGCATCCCAGGGAAGTAACTGCTGCCTGCAGGAAGTTCTGTGCCCTGAGCTACAAGCCATGGCTCATCCCTAACTGGGATGACCATGGTGGTGTTTCCTGGCTGTCTGGTGAGTGAAGCTCTCCTGATCAATTGTAGCTTGCAATGTTTGACCATCCCAGCACAAGCCAGTGCAGGTACCTGGTGAATGTTTCACTGCATGAAACCCTGGGAATCTGTCWGCTCTGTGGTCTAGGATACAGGTTTGTGTTGCTTAACTCAGTAACTGGTGGCTGCAGGCTTTGGGAGCTTGATGGAGGCAACTTAGTGATTAAAAACATCAGTCATTAATAGATAAAGGAGGGATRCACTTTCCAACATCCCAGGCTGGTGTATTCATAAAATAGCTGCTAATTAAGGACACTGTATTCCTGCATTTCAACTATAAAGCACAGTTTGTGATGGCAGTAAGCCCATTGAAATTGGTCATTACCATATTAGCTCGACTCTTCTTTGAGCCATTAACTAATAAAACAGTCATTGGCTGCTTTTAAATGATATTACAATGCTGCTGTGTTCAACAGCACAGCCTTGCACTCTAACAACTGCTCTGGGTGCTGGCATCAACCACACCACGCCAGGCTCAGGGCTGGGGTTGATCCTTTTAAAATTTTTCAGTTCTTGTGGCCACTGTCACAGGTAATGTGGGCAGAGCTGATGGCAGAGCTGTTGGCAGAGCTGCTGGCCAGCAGATGCTCATCTTTGTTAGGCTTCATCAGTAGATGGGGGGGATGTTTTCCCAGCTGAGAGCCCTCCCCATGGCTCCATGGGAGAAGCCCATCCATCCCTTGTGGGGCAGGACAGTGGGGGGCTGTGCCCAGCAAGAAGGGGAAAGCATTGCTGGAGTATTCCCACCTTTTTCTTCTTCATCACGCGCTGGACCACAGTCCGGGCTCTCTGCTCTTCCATCCACAGCTCCTTGAATCTGTGTTGCATGATGTCAAAAAAGGGAGAGGGAGGCCTGGAAAACATTGAAAAGACACCAATATAATGTTTATCTCCTCGTGCTGGTTCATATCTCTGCTCCTGGAAGGTGAGAATGTGAATGAAACTGGGAAAGGCTTTCTCATCCTCAAGAAACCTCAAACCCACAATAATTTGCAATTAACACACACCGGGGTGACCTGTGCCAAGGCATTCCCCAGAACTGGAACAATTTCTTTTTTTGCACAACCTTTTACAGGACAGGTTTCAGTAGCTCTGTCTGAGCCCTGCTGAGCTGGAAGGACCACAAGGCACCACAGGCTGCACCTCAACTTTGGGCCCTGCTGGAGCTTCAGGAGAGCATTTCCCATCATTTCCCATCAGTGGAGCAGCTCTGGCTGGATCCCATCCAGGGGAAGAACCACTGGGTGCCAAGTGTGTTTTGCTAAAATAACTCCAYTTTTGCTATTAAAAATCTCTCTGATAGGATACACCAAAGCTGCAAATATGCAATGATGCATGGGGCGAGAGAATTAAGTGCTGTCCTAAGCTGTCTGAACAGGGATAAAAACAGACCCGGTGCAGATGGTTGGGTGTCTGCAGCAGAAAGGGGAGCTGAAATGCTGAGCCCTGGTCTGGTGCCTCAGCTGCACAGCCCAGGTGTATTTGCCCCTTGAAAGAGGATTCCAGGAGCAAGGAGCAGACAGGAGTGGGGAGAGTTGCACATGACTCTGATTCTAGAAAAGGAGTAAAAAGGTGGATGCTTGGTGGCCAGTGCCCCACTCTGAGCTGGCGTTAACCTGACCAGCTAGTGGCAAAGCTGCAGCCTGAAGCTGTTGAGCTTCTCTCCTTGCAAGTGAGGATGCTTCATCAGCCACCATGGCAGTAGCAGGGACAGAGACTCAGTAATTCCTGTGGTCCTGCTGCTGTTCCTTTCCCCCAKAGGCAAACATTTGGAGGTGATGGAGGGCCTCAAGTTGTATTGGTCCTTGTCCTTGCACACCTTGCTGTGGGGGATCTTTCCCATTTCATCAGCAGCTGATGGCTGTGGAGCTCTGTTCCCACCTGTAGCCTGCAGAACCTTCACCTGCAGCTCCCACAGCAGAGCCAGGGCTTTTCCTGCGTGTCCAGACAAACTGCAGGACATTGGAGCTTTGTGATAACTGCTGGGCTGCTTCTGGGCCATCAGCTCCACCTTGTTGTGCACAGGATCCCATGTCACAGACAGAACTGTGATGTGTGGTTTATGGCAGGAGTGGSTCCAGAACTGACAGCTGCCAGCTTTTAGCAGCCTGGAGAATCCTTGATGATCACRGAGGGTGCCAGCAGCGTGTATGCAAATAGTAACTCTTCTGTTTCTTGTTCCTTCACCCCCGTGGTGACTTTTATTACTTAATTATTGCACACCACATGCTTCAAAACAGCCTAATCTATGGTCGTGTTTTCTAATGATACTAGATGTGCAATCCAGCAATATACATCCCAAGGGGACATTCATATCAGAGGAGGCATCCTTCTGCAGGCCTCCTGTTTCATAGATCACATGCTGCAGGGCTTTTCAAGCCTTTGCTTACAAATCAGCTCTGCTGCTCCAGACCGTTATCTGGAGACACCCAGTGCCAAAGGCGACACTGATGTTTACCCTTTGTCCCCTCTTCTTTCCCCTCCTTCCCTTCCAGTTTGGCATTTCATAGTGATCAGAGCTGGGCAAAATACTTAAAAAGGTTAAAAGACATGGCAAATGTGTGGTCAAGTGTGTTATTATGTGGGTAGATCTCCAGTCTCATACTGTGGTGTAAATGTTGGTATTTCTGACACAAGCACAGGGTGRGCATTGCTTGTTTGCTCCCAACCCTTTGCTCTCCAGAAGTAGCAGGGAGGGATGCAGAAAAGCACTGAGCCTTTGTGTGTAGTTTTTGATTATTGATTTTTTTTTTCTTTTTTTTACAAGTTGAATGTGTTTTCACATCTCTATGGACGTGACTTTTACCATCTCCAGTGGACCAGCCAGTTGGTGACTGATTAGTCCACAGCTGGCTTGTAAGTAAATGCTTGAAAGGACACATTTGGGTTGATGCTCTTCAGAGATCCTTCCCTGCYGTGTGATTAATCGCATTTAAGTCCCGATCCAGCAAAGTATAGACTCATGCCTGGAATGGTGCACGCATGAACTGCCTCTCTGAAATCGGTGGGAATGGCTCACGTGTCGGTTATCCACGTTGGGCTGTAGGATGTGAGGCTTCTTCTGGCTTTTCCTCCTTGGAGAGAAACACTGAGAGAGTGGGGAAGAGCAGGGGATATCAGATAACACTTCTTTGAGGTTACTGCAAGACTTCAGCGAGGTGGCTTTTCCTTTGTAGGTCAAAGCCTGATCTCAGYGGAGTGGAGGGGGAATTTGGCCCCGATATTGGTGCTGCTTGGCARTGTGACAGCTCTTACTTGCAGCTGGCCTTTGGGAAAATGTCCTTTTGCCTTAGTGCTACTTAAGGACAGGGATCAATGGCTTGGGTGTTCCCTTTCCCTTTGTCACCCTGCCCAGATGTTGCTCCTGAACYGGGAGGATTTTGCCGTTGCTGTCGGCGGATGCTGCGGGCAGAGCAGGGGAAGCATCTGCTAGAAATGCTTATTACACATTAAAATCCATCTCATTCAGAATAACTCAGATCTCCTTGTTTTGGCACAAGCACAAGCCACAGGAAGGAAAGGCAAAGAAGTTCTGATAGGATGTAACAAATTATTTATAATTGTAGGGAAAGAAAATACTCATCTGCTTCCTTTTATAGTCAAATAGTTGGAGCCACTTCTAATGCTGACATTTCCTAAATATTTTAAAATTTATCTGTGCACATTTTCAAAACTATTATCCCTGAAACAGTTCCTGTCTCTTTAATAGAATCTCTCTAATTTACTTTCAAGAGTCAGGGTACAGACCTATTTTCAACTGAAATGACAAGCACCTGCTAACTTGGTTATACAATGTGGAATTCTAGTCTGCCAGACATCTCCTGGAAAAGAAGCTGCAGCCTCCTAATGGGCTATTTTACTGTGAAAACAGTGTTAAAAAGTAAAATAAAGTATTAACAATATTAAAATAAAACAGTGTAGGCCTTAAATGAGCTACAAACTAGTTAAATCTATTCTATTCAATATGAGCCTTCAGTGCTTTTGCAGCTGATACCTCAGAGCTGGGATTTATCTAAAATGAAGGCACCAGGGACATGCAAGAGAAATGGTAATTATAATTTGCAAACATTAGGCTGACACTTTTTTGTGTATGTGTGTATAAATTCTGACAGCTGTGATTTGTGCCAGTGCCAAATAGTGCTCCACCATTCTGAGAAGGGCTCATTTTGTGGCAGGCCATCCTCAGAGCAGCAGCTCATTAAAACTTTGGAGAAGGAGAAGTTGCCGAAAACAGGAAGGCGTCAGAACCATCTGAGGGATTTTTGGTACACGCTTGTTGAAAGGTGTTTGAGAAGAGAGCCTTGGGTCTGACAAACTGGAATTTTAGTACGCCTCCCCGTTCACAGTGGGGCAAAATAATTGGTCATCAGTGACTACTAATTTGGTTTAGTAGCCAGAGGCATTTTTTTTCTTCCCAGAAAATCAATGACAGTGCCGAGGTCTGTTCAACGTGATTCAGCTCAAGACGGGTCCTCATTTAGCTCTTGATGCTTCTTCCACTGGAGACAGCTATTTTGTTAAAATGAAATTAAAATCTATCTATAATACTCAGCTCAGGGAGCGGCACCCGTCAATGCCATGCTGCTCTTGAGGTTTCAAGGTTGTCAGTCTCCCCTCAAACTTATTTTCAAAGGTTTATATATCAGCTGCAAAAAAAAAGTGGCAAAAGTGGATACAAAGGACTTTGCTCAGGAAGGGGGTTTGTATCAGCTTGAAAGGTGCAATCAATTTGCGAAAGGGTAAAAACTTTACTTGCAATTGCTTCTTTTTTCTTGTATAATTCAAAAGCACGTAAATATTTCAGTGCGAGCCTCAGCCCGTGGGGTTTGTGTGTGGCTCTGCAGCCAGGGCAGTGCTTTTCCTGCTGCAGGTCAGGATGGGCTCCGGCCGGGAGCGGGGCAGGGAGCAGAGGATGCTCCATCGGCTCCCCWGTGGTTGTGCAGCTGTTTGGGCTCTGCCCAAAATCCTGCTCTGCTTCCAGTGGCAGCTTAGAGGCAGCAGGATCTGGCCCTGCATGGGTGCTCATGCAACAGATCAGGCACAGAATGGAATTTGCCTATGGTTGTGACATTAAAATGGTGTTGCTGCACCGCTGCCTGTGCTGAAACTTTAACCCTTTCTTGAAAGATTGAGGTTTCAGGGGGGTTTAGTCCTTGCTGGTGTCGCTCCATCTAAGATGTGCATTTGCTGCACAGCCAGATCTGTCTTTGGGGCCTTCAGCCCACGGGGGAGACAGCCTACAGGAGCACCACCTTCTTATTCCTTCTTGTGTGCTTCATGCTGGGAGGATTTGTCCTGTGGTAGAAGTGTCCATATAAAATCTGCCCATGCTCGTGGTTAGGCATGGTTGGGAACCAGTTCCCACCAGCTCAGCTTGGTTTCTTACAGAAACATTAAGTTTGGAAAAGATCTCCAAGATCGAGTCCATCCAGTTTTTTAGTGGGGAACAGTCTCCAGCATCTCTGGAGCRTGGGGCTCCTTGGGGCAGCTACCACAAGTACTGTCTTCACCAAATAAAGCACAAGCTGGCCTCTGTTATTCTATTTGGGTACCTCCAACACAGGCAGCAGCGAGATATCACTGCTCAGGTCCCTGTGCCCTGAAAGGGGGCTGAGAGCACAGGAAAATTGTGATTACATCTCTCTTGTACTGCTGTGGTGCCTCCYTTCCTCCCTGGTTACTGATGGGCTGGAGGTGGCAATCTATCTCCCGTTAATTTGTCTSTGTGTAGCCCAGCAGGAAGCTGGGGTATGATTACAGCTCTGGCCCTTGTGCGAGAGCCCCACATCCCCTGCAAACTGCCTGCCTCTGCCTCGCCTTAATTGTTCCCCTTTGGCCCGTGGACCTGTCTCT